AAAAAAAAAAAAAAAAAGGTGGAAGGGATAAGTAGAAGATAATGTACCAGCTGAGTGCTCTAGTAGGTTAGAAAGTATTTTGGTATCTTGATAATTGAGATCTTAATCTTGTGCAGACCATTCCCCTGCCTTGAAATCAGAGCATAAAGGCTCCTTCTCTGGAAATCAACCATTAAAAATATAGAGAAGAACTAGACTTATAGCTGACCTTTTAAAGAAAAAGAACATTCACAATCAAATCTAGATTGATTGATACAGGTTTTTTTTTAAGTGTTGATGTCAGATTGGCTTTACAGTGATCTGGGTCTTTTCAATGTTTGTTGTTTAGTCATTATGTCATGTCCGACTCTTCGTGACCCTATAGACCAGACCCTATAGACCACTGCCTCCCGGAGTTTGGTCAAATTCATGACACTGTGCAGCCATCTTATCCCCTGTCGTCCCCTTCTCCTCTTGCCTTCACACTTTCCCAACATCAGGGTCTTTTCCAGGGAGTCTTCTCTTCTCATGAGATGGCCAAAGTATTGGAGCCTCAGCTTCAGGATCTGTCCTTCCAGTGAGCACTCAGGGTTGATTTCCTTCAAAATGGATAGGTTTGTTCTCTTTGCAGTCCAGGAGACGCTCAAGTGTCTCCTCCAGCACCACAATTCAAAAGCATCAATTCTTCTGATGTTTATTTAATAGTAAATAAGGACATTAAGCAAAATGTCAGTATAAAAGGTCGAAAAGAGTTCAAGGTTTTACAGATTTTTTTTCTTGCATGAATTGTGTGTATCAGGATAGTTTTTGGGGCAAGGTGCTTCAAAATAATTTCATATCACTTAGAAAATGGAACTCTCAAAACTTTTCACAATGCTCATCCTCTTTTTCTTGTCATTTCTGAAGCATGTACTGTGAAAACTCCTTTGGTTCATTACATTTTAAGGCATTTTCTATTCCTTCAAAAGGAACTATTTAATATGTGTGTGATTTGTTTTTGTTTCGAAGGAAAAATCCCAAGTTATAGAAAGTGTTTAAATTCAGAGCAGTGGTAGATTCATGCATAACCACCATCTGTTGTTGCTGTCGTTATTGTTGTTTTCAAAAGCACTTTTAAGGAAATGATACGCCCAGACTTGGCTTCTCTATGAAAATGCATCACCACATGACTGCTTTGAAAAACAAAAATAGTGTCATGGGCATTAGACTGGACAGACCATGCAAAATTGCTGCGCTAGAGCCTCTTGCATCCATACCTGAAATGAAAGGGGGAAAGGCAGATTAGCAGAAGAGTATGTGTATCTCTTTCCCATTAAAAAGAGAGAGAAGACTCTACATCCCTACCCCACACTTATTTTGGATTCCCAATAGAGCTTTCACCTGAGTCTTTTTTATTTTTAAATTGAAATGCTTTCCTTAGTTCACAGCTTCACACATTTTGGCTCACTTAACATGTCTCCTTACTGACATTTCCTGCTGCTTCTGGGACTGTGTACAAGCTTCTCTCAACAGCATTTTAATATGCCACGAAATTACTATCAAGCCTTTTGAGGAATCTGTATAATGCATGTTTATGAATTCTCTGGTGAGAACAGCCACATTGGCAGCCTATATGTGGTGCAACGCTGGGATGAGTATAACGGCAAAAGAAATGCAGCCATGATGGCACAGGAACATGTAAAAGAGGTGGAACAGTCTGTTGTGACTTGTGCCATCAGAACCACTAGGAGAGCTATCATTTGCAGTACTAGTGCCATTAAGGAAAAGAATTGTACTTGTTCCTATTGACAATTTTAAGTACACTGTTCCATGGTTTGCCATTTTTTAAAAAAAAAATGCTGTTGTCTATATGTCTTGGCAATGTATCCATTTCCCAGTTTTCCAACAATATGTATATGACTATTAATATCTGGGACAGTGATTCAACCGTCTCTAATCAGGCAGGAAAAAAAATCCGAACACCTGAAAATTAAAATCTAATTTCCTTCAAAAAAATAATGGTGTCTAATTTACGTGGTAATTTACTAGTTCAATTGAATGCAATTTTTCATGCATAGGAGTATGAAGAATTCTAATTGGTTTCTTTTCTTTCTTTTTTTTGGCAACTGCATTATAGCAGAATAATGCATACTTTTTTCTTTTCTATAAAGACTCAAAAATGCTTGATAAAATTGTTTAAAATTAGGGAGATCTGAGGTGTAATTAGAGTGAAGAGTGAATAAGAAATGTTATGACAAATAGAAGGTTGAGATTGATGATTAATAAACCTGTAGAAGTTACCTATGATTAGCAATCAAACATCTGTAATCAATAAACAAGTTATATTTAAGACGTTTGGACCTTCATCTTCATCCTTCCATAATTAATGTTGATTTAGTGATCAACTGGTGGCAGTGGGTGAAAAGGAGTAGTAGTTTGCCTTCGTATGCTCTGTGTTTGGAGAGTCAGGCAGGGGCCATGAGGGGTGAACACCACAAGCAGTAACAGATATCTCATTCTTGGCTGAAACACAAATATGGGAACCATATGCCCTGTGGAAGACTCAGATGCCAACTCCATCACTGTGTCTACCCTTGGAAACATTACTAAGGACATACTTGTACAGTAGGAACCCACCCACTCAGCCATATCCACAGGATCAGTATCCATGGTTTCATTTAACCCTGCTTGAAAATATTAAAAATATTAAAAGAAAAAGATCCAGAAAAAAAATATTTTCACATACATTACAATTACAGGCCACTATGGAGCCAGAGACCACGCTATGGAGCCAGAGACCATGCTATGAAGAATACATAGCATGGTCCCTGGTGCCCTCTAGTAGATAAATCTGGTAGTTCATGTGAAAATATTTTTTCTTGGTTTTTTCCTTGTATCATTCACTGTTGTTCACAGTTTTCAGTATCCATGGGGGCCCATGGAACAAATTCCCAATGGATATGGGGATCCCACTGTATTATACCTCAAATCATGGGTTCATGCAGCTTCCACTGTGATACACATTATCACTTGCTTATAATACTTTGCTGCATTCTATATGGATCATTGTTTATTTGAAAGAATAAAGCTGGGGTGAAAACCAAAATGGCAGTGTTCAAAAACCTGGAGGGTGCCATTTAAGTCTCCCAGGACATCCATCATTGATGTCAAAATGGTCATTCTTGAAGAAAAGAACTGTCACGACAAATTCCATCAGGAGACAGATGAAGAAGATTTCATAAACTGGTGATTTATTCTATAGGCACAAAAACTTATTATCCCACTACTTTTTCATCAGATTGGGTATTATTATTA